AGAATAAGAAATTTGTTATTTTATTCCTTATTAAAGAATCTGATTCATTTTTCGTACCATCAGTTAAAACCGAAAAGTATGAACGCAATGATTTCATTTAACGCGTTCCACTTACAGTGTCATCTCGCAACCGAGTCCTACCGAGCAACGGAGAAATATACTCACAGATGAGTCTGAATCGGCTTTCAAGGAATGAAAAACGAAGAATTCATTACTAGGTACGATGAATGAATGACGCGTGATTAATTTAAGTATCCTGGACGAGCGTCTCGGTCCTGCGTAACCGTGGCTAAAGCATAAGTAATGATCGCTCGTTTCTAATCCAGCGCGGTATGTACTCAGCCCGGTGGTTGCGGTTAAATAAATACACAGCAGTGATCGTAGCGGCGAAGCTGGAGAATCAGCTGGAAGCCCCGGCTACGACCACCACATTAATTGTGACTAATATCGATCATCCTTTAAACCGATCACGACTCTTTGTTGCAAGTTCGATTTGACTGTGAAATTCACTTTGTTCGATTCGGCTAACGAAGTCTATTGATGATCGTGGAGATACGAGAATCTTATTCGATGAACTGCGAGAGTAGATTGATTCGCTTCCGGCAGAATTATCCAGGAGTGTTCGACGCACTTGGAGGAGAAGTCGTAAGAAGCTCAAATCCGTTATTGCAACGAGAAAGTAGCGAGGACAAGAAGAAGTAGAATATTACAAAAATTTGTAAATCCTTGTAGAAATTATACAGGGTGTCTCATAACTTGACAGGCTTCGCTGTGAACTACTATGTCTGTTCCCGATGCAAGGCAAGATATCATCATATTGACAATGCATATAAACACAAAAATGTAAAATAGTGAAATATGCCAAGCTGAATATACAGGGTATCCCAGTTTTGAATGTTCAAACTTTGTCAGTGCATTCCATGGCACTAAATAAGAAATAAAATATTATATAAACGTAAGTCACATAGCACTTTATTAAAAAGTTATAACAAAAGAATGGAGTACATTTTATTCTAATGCAATTTTCTATAAGAAGATAAGCAAATATGTTAATTATATTTGAAGAAACTTCGATGTGTCTCTGTTTTATGTGCATTAAAAACGTAAAAAGGATTTTAGTTGGTTGCGAGACAAAATCTCGGATGTTTATATTAAAACATCCTCCGGTGTACAACCCTGAGTCAATATAGCGCCGAGAATGATACGTTCTCCGGTAGCTATGTACTTTGCAAAGTATCATTTATCACTATGACCACTTCCTACTTGAAAACTTGAATTTACACAGAGACTGATTTATTAACTCTGGAAGTAGCCTTTACTTTCGAGTTACTAAGCACATCAGTATTTCAATATAAATTGCTACAATCGCTATATACAGCTTTTACAAAGCTTGACTTTGCTACTACATATTTAATTTACGTGGTGAACCAACTTGAGTTAGACATTAACCGTGCCCTTTAATTTATGGTAGACGTGTATCCAAATGTATTTTGTATGGTGCAAGTTCTTTGTCGACTGTCCTATCAAAAATCAGATATATTGGAAAGAGGAGACAAATCAGATGTTTAACTAGAATTCGTTATATTTTGATTTTACACTTGAAATTAATAATGC